CTTTGCAAATAAAGCATTTAAATGTTAGCCCTGGGATTTTCAAACCAAGGCCTCTAATTGGCAGACAAGGGTCCTTCCTGTTTCTCTGTCACTGTTAGACACCACCCCCCATGCCCACTTTCCCAGGATTTCTTACAAATCTCCCCTCTGACTCAAAATAGAAAATGGGCTAAGGCACAGCTATCGGGGTCATTTCTATCAGAGGGGACCCATTTTCGAGGTATCAATTTAGAATCCCATTCTAGCCAATTCCTGCTGGAGTGTTTTCTGAGACATTTTGGGGCCCTTTATGACCTTACGTTATTCCATCTCTCTTTGTGGCCAGATGATAGCAAAGCTCCTTTCGGGGTATCTGCGATTGACTGTCTGGAAGATAACAATAAAAAAGAGGATAAAAAGGACAGAAATGTTAGCAGTAGAAAAAGGCAGTGTCAGACTGACCCAGGAAGCCGGGTTGAGAGAAGCAATCTTTGCACACACATGGCGATTTGTGAACTCTTCAGGAGAAGAGTTACATCTCAGGGAAGCAGTCACGGTGCTTGGGGTGTTTTGTTGCTGTTTTACTGTCATATTATTTTGTTTTGAGGGAAAGGGTTTTTTTTTTGCTTTGTTTTGTCTATATCAGAACAAAATTTTAAAAAGATCTTCATACATAATTTAGCTTTGAATTGGTTTTCTACCAATTTCTTTTTTTCTTAAACATATTTTTATTGATTTCAGAGAGGAAGGAAGAGAGAGATAGAAACATCAATGATAAGAGAGAATCATTGTTTGGCTGCCTTCTGCACGGCCCCATTGGGGATCAAGCCCACAACCCAAGCATGTGCCCCTGACCAGAATCGAACCCGGGACCCTTCAGTCCACAGGCTGACGCTCTAACCACTAAGCCAGATCAGCTAGGGCATCTACCAATTTCTTTGAATTCACTTTGAATCTGGTTTTCTCCATAGCTAAACCATATTTGCCCATAGTATCAAGTTTCTTAATTATGAATTCGTGGAACCTTTTAGACGTCAAGATGGGTAAATATTTAAAGCATATATGTCTTTTTTTAAATTGACTTTCAATTAATTAATTAATTTTTATCCTCACCCCAGGGGATATATTTATTGATTTTATTTTTTATTTCATTTATTTATTTTTTAAAATCTTTATTGTTGAAAGTATTACATATGTCCCCTTTCTCTCCCATTGACCCCTTACAGCCCACCCCCCACCCCCACCCCAGGCCTCCACCGCCCTATTGTCTGTGACCATGGGTTATGCATCTATGACACATAATCAATTCTTCTGGGAACCTTACTTTTGTTAGTTACTTAAAAGGATCAAGAGGAACCCAAATTTAAGACTCATTGCTCTGGAGGATTTTAAAAAGTGGAATAAGTTTATCGTTTCTTCCACTCATCAGGCAATAGGAACATGCAAGTGAAGCAGAGCTTTGACTCAGCCTTTGTTCCATCTTTGCTCCACAGCCAGCTCGTGACGTGAATGAATGTGTCATTCAGGGAGGAAGAGAGTGATTGCAAGACAACACAGAGTGTGTGACCATTGCAATTTCACAGAATAACACAAGACCACTTTTCAAAATTCTTGCCTCTTTAGTAAGCCATTAAAAAAAAAGAGAGAGAGAGAAGGCGGGAGAAATGGGTTCATCTTTTCTTTGGAGAAGTAAGCCTTCAAGGTCAACTGGTTAAGAGATGTAGACCAAGTTCATTCAAGTGTTAGATAATATTCTGATTATTTAGAATGTTTGGAGGGATTTGTTCTCTGATGAGGCTGGAAAGTCACCACTTTAAGGCTGTCAATGACTCATCACAAAGGTCAAGAGGGAAAATCTATTCTCCCCAGTACAGCATAAATGGTTGGATTCATTCTCCCAGCTTTCAAACCTGCTTTTGAGATGTAAAATGCATAAAGCAGAGTGGGGCGGGGGAGGAGTGTCCATTTATTGTCCAGTTTGACTCCTCTGTGACAGCACCATATTTAAACTTTTTTTAAATCATGTATTTAGCAAACCTCGAAAAAGATGAGTGCTTTTGACCAATGAATTTCATACTTAAGAATTGTTTACCTCAAACACTTCTATAAAATTGCTAAGGGTAGGCCATGGCCGTTGAGAGTTCAAAGAAGTTCTCCAAACTATTATAATATGCAGCCAGAACTGAGAATCGCTGGTTAGTCAGAAAAATCTGGACTTTAAACACCATTTTCCTATAAATCACTTTAGTCTCAAAGCCTATTTCCTTATCTGTAAGGTGGGAGCATGCAGCAAATGTTATATTAGGCTTCAATAAATATGGAAAAAGAAAGAAAGGGCACAGTTGAAATTATATGTAAATCTTTTTCCATTGTACAACAGACACTCTGCCCCACAAAGAGTTATAAAAGTGACAAATGTCTAATCACCATATTCAAATGCACTGACTTTAAAATAACTGTTTTTTTAAAGATGATTAATTCTGACCAAGCAGTTTCCCTCTTTGAGTGAATAATAATAATTAATTTACAGTAAGTAGGCAATTCACATTCTCCTCACACTCAGAGATTTCCTGGCTCCAACCAATGCGGAGGATCAAGCCATCTTGGCTGGCTGCCTATTCATCCGGCAGATTCTTCTTCTTTACAAACAGACCCGGCCACAGCAAGACCAATTCATGCCCAGCTGCGACAATTGTCCTTATCACCATACATCTTCTGGGGATGTTCCTCAATTTCTGCCACATGTCCTGTGTCTCCTTTTGTAGTGGTTCAAGAAATCCTTTTTAAAAAATTTATTTTTACATATATTTTTATTGATTTCAGAGAGGAAGGGAGAGAGCAATAGAAACATCAATAATGAGAGAGAATCATTGATCGGCTGCCTCCTGCATGCCCAACACTGGGGATCGAGCCCACAACCTGGGCATGTGCCCTGACCAGCAATCAAACTGTGACCTCCTGGTTCATAGATCAAGCCACACCAAGCTGGGCTAAGAAACCATTTGTTTAAGTGCTTTTTCTGTGCCACTCCATTTGTACTATATTTTACATATATTATTGTACTCTACCCTCATAATAGTTTTATGAATCAAGTGTACTATCGCCATTTTACAGATGAGGCAATGGGCTTAGAGAGGTTTCAAACTTGCCTATGGGCACAAAGCTGATATTTAGCATCTGGATTTGAATTCCAGTCTGTCTGGCTCTTAACCATTACACTAAATTCCTTCTTGACCCACCCAACTTCTGTCCTTTGTTCTTGCTCAAATCAGAGAATAACTAAAGTATCCATCTCAGAAAATCTAAACCTAGGATTTCTCTTACTATAAGAGCTAACATTGATTGAGAGCTTAGCAGGCACCGGATAGATATATTATGTGCCTTCTTCTTTCCTTTGAACTACCTCTTCTAGATTCTCCACATACATATTTTTATTTAACTAATGAAATGTGTTACATGTAGAAAATGATGTATATGTACTTACAAACATATATAATGCCTACTTGATTTCTCACAATCTTTGTTTTTCCCCTGTGCTCATAGGAAACTATTTACAGTTCTAGGAACCAGCGAAACCATCTCTTGCCTGTGGTCTTTTGTATATCATCTCCTTTACACTGTGCTCCTTCAACACCACTTTGCTTCTCGGTTTCTCTTACCCTTCAAAGATGGCTTTATGAGGCCCATGCCTGAGCTGATCCTATTTGATAGGGTATATATTTAGGACATATTTTCATTTGCTATTAATTTGTTTGTCTTCTCCATAAAGTTGGGAATACATATACCATGATGACTGAGTCATCAGCTATGCACAGCAAAGTGCTTACATACGGAAGACCCATGGGAATTTTTTTAATAGGGGAATTAACTGCTATTTCTGTAACCCACACTAAACCACCTAGGGCCTAGGCCCCTCATCTCATATTTGCAATCCCTACCTTGCCAACGTCTGAGAAGTGGAACTAAAAGCTGTTTGGTACAAAATGACAGGAACATGTAGAACTATTTGACTTAGTCAATGACTTTCTCTTTTTCTTTTTCAAGTATGAACTTTTCCTGGCCATCCTCAACCCTTACCTTTCACAGACATAGAAGCATTCGCTAAAATATCACTTTGCTTCAGATTTAGAAACAGGAATAGGGAGCAGTTGGATTTGTTAATTTGCTTACCAGAATCCAGAGTTTTAGTCCTTCTTGACATATGGCACAAAATTTCAGCTCGTTGTAATTAATGTTAAAATTTAAAGCAGAGTGTTTTGGTTTAAAAAACTATGAAGTCAAAATAGGATGATATGCCATAGGAACTATGTGCAGAATCTTTCTCTTGACCGCAAAACTGTAATTTTTTTGTTTCCCTAAAGAATCAAAGCTTACTCTTCATAGAAAGAAAAAAAAAAGCCTAGAACCAGTTTAACCCTTAGAGTGCTGGGGAGCACCATTGTGCTCCTCCTGTCTTTCGCCAAAAGTGCCGGGATCGCGATCGCACTCCTCCTGCAGTGTCACTATTAGATGTTAGTAGTTCACTCTTTATTGACAGATGGCGCCTAAGTGCAGATTCCTTGTGATGCCGAATGTTTGTAGTTCTGAAATTGACCACTGGCATTTATCTGCCTAATTTTTTACAGGTACTACGATTTTATGAAGTTTACTCAGATTTTGTAGCCCTAAAGCTTCGAAATGGCGTCCAGTTCTAAGTCTGCTTTCATTCGTGATGATGATATTGCTAAATATGCCAATTCTTGCTGTGAAGATGACGATTTTGTGGAAGATATTGGAGAAGGGTGTCCCTCTATTTTAACATTATATGTTTTGTTCAAATTATTTTTCTACTAGTATTTTATAATACAATCAGCAAACAATATATGTCAAAGATGAAAACAAATGTAGTAAAGGTTTCCTTAAGTTTTTGAATATGTAACTTCATGTACTTGCGATTCATAATTTTTTTTCTAAACTGCTGTAAAATCAGCAAAAATGCCTTGGCAATTTTAGCATAGTTCCTCGGATATTGGTTAGCACTCAAAGGGTTAAGCATTCTAGTGTGTTAGAAAAACCCCCAAATTATGTGACTTGCAATCAGTTGTTCAAGCCATCTTGTTCAAACCTGCTTTGTTCCCATTGCCTTCAGGTTACTAGCTTCTGCTTAGTCTTGCATATATTAAACTGATAAGAACAGATACTACACTTGATCTTAGCCAAAAGGCCGAGAAGTGAAGTCTTGCATATAGATATGGTAATCATTAGGGAAATTCTGCTTGCAGCTTGAGAAGATAAGGGAAGTGTGTATTGTTTACCAAAAATTGGCATGAACCTCATAACCAGACTCACATCAACTAGCACAATCTTCCTTGGACCCCTGCTGGTGCTCAGATGTTTGTAGTTGTCAATCACCTCTTGCTCCTCCCATTTTGCCTTCCCTTGGCATAAAAGAAGCCTGAATTCTATACTTCCATAGGATGGATTTGAGGTACCTCTAGGGCTCCTATATTATTGGTTGACACCTTCTTTTTTTAAAAAATTATTTATTGCTTAAAGTATTACAAAGAGTATATGTCTCCTTTTTTCCCCCCACCCTTGACAATCCCCTGGCCTCCCCTACCTTCCAGTGTCTTATGTCCATTGGTTATGCTTATATGCATGCATACAAGTCCTTCGGTTGATCTCTTACCTTCCCCCACACCTGCCCCCCAACCCTCCCGGCCTTCCCGCTGTAGTTTGACAGTCTGTTCGAGGCAGCTCTGCCTCTGTGTATATTTTTGTTCATAAGTTTATAATGGTCCTTATTATCCATAAATGAGTGAGATCATGTGGTATTTTTCCTTCATTGCCTGGCTTATTTCAGTTAGCATAATGCTCTCCAGTTCCATCCATGCTGTTGCAAATGGTAAGAATTCCTTCTTTTTTACAGCAGCATAGTATTCCATCGTGTAGATGTACCACAGTTTTCTAATCCATTCATCTACTGATGGGCACTTAGGCTGTTTCCAGATCTTAGTTATGGTGAATTGTGCTGCTATGAGCATAGGGGTGCATATATCCTCTCTGATTTGGTGTTTCTGTTTTCTTGGGATATATTCGTAGAAGTGAGATCACAGGGTCAAATGGAAGTTCCATTTTTAGTTTTTTGAGGAAACTCCATTCTGTCTTCCATAGTGGCTGCACCAGTCTGCATTCCCACCAGCAGTGCACAAGTGTTCCTTTTTCTCCACATCCTCTCCAGCACTTGTCGTTTGTGGATTTATTGATGATAGCCATTCTGACAGGTGTGAGATGGTACCTCATTTATGTTTTGATTTGCATCTCTCGGATGATTAGTGACTTTGAGCACGTTTTCATATGTCTCTTGGCTTTCTGAATGTCCTCTTTTGAAAGGTGTCTATTTAGGTCCTTTGCCCATTTTTTGAATTGATTATCTTCCTTTTGTTAAGTTGTATGAGTTCCCTATAAATTTTGGAGATTAAACCTTTATCGGTGATAACATTGGCAAATATGTTCTCCCATGCAGTGGGCTTTCTTGTTGTTTTGTTGATGGTTTCTTTTGCTGTGCAGAAGCTTTTTTTTTTGCTGTAGTCCCATTTGTTTATTTTCTCTTTAGTTTCCAGCCCTAGGAGCTGTATCAGTGAAGAAATTGGTTCTGCATATGTCTGAGATTTTGTTGCCTTTGGATTCTTCTAGTATTTTTATGGTTTCCCGTCGTACATTTAAGTCCTTTATCCATTTTGAGTTTATTTTTGTGTATGGTGTAAGTTGGTGGTCTAGTTTCATTTTTTTTGCATGTATCTGTCCAATTTTCCCAACACCATTTATTGAAGAGACTATCTTGACTACATTGTATGTTCTTGCCTCCTTTGTCAAATATTAATTGAGTATATTGGTTGGGGCGGTTGACACCTTCTTGATCAATAAAGTTTTCCTTACTCCAAAACCTGACATTTTTAGTTTTGTTTGAGCTTTTGAAGCACCAGGCACACAGACTTTAGACTAGTAACATTGCTATTTAAAGCAGGGATTTCTGAGAGTTGTAAGAATTTGCTCTTTGAAGGATCCATCAGTAACAGTCTGCATTCAGGTGTGTAAACTTCATTTGAGAAGACGGGTGGGTTATGGTGCTGAAAGAACAGTTCCTACAGAAGCTCCTTTACCTACACCAGGAGAGACCTGGAAATCCTCTCTAAGTCAAGAAACATCAGCGACGCATCACAGAAAAAGAGTTTCAATAGAGATGGTCTCAGAGACACCAGAGAACGCTATTTCTGAGAATATGCCCTGGCTGAGAACCACTTGCTGCCGAAATACTTGACAGGGGCATCTTAACAGGCAGATTTCTTAAATATGTCCAGACTCTTGATATCTATTGTCCAACTGCCCCCTGAAAATGCTGCACTTCCATTTTTAATTTTTTGAGGAAGATCCATTCTGTTTTCCATAGTGACTGCACCAGTCTGCATTCCCATCAACAGTGTACTTGGGTTTCCATTTGTTTATTTGTTGATAGTAGCCATTCTGGCAGGTGAGGTGATAGTAGCCATTCTGGCAGGTGTGATTTTAATTTGCACCTCTCTGATGATTAGTGACTTTGAGCTTTTTTTTCATATATCTCTTGGCCATCTATATGTTCTCTTTGAAGAAGTGTCTATTTAGGTCCTTTGCACATTTTTAAATTGGATGAAGTTGTATGAGTTCTTTATATACTTTGGAAGTTAACCCCTTACAGATGTATCATTGGAAAATATGTTTTCTCATACAGTGAACTCTCTTTTCATTTTGTTGATGGGTTTTTGCGTGTGTGTTTTTTCTCTGCAGAAGCTTTTTATTTTGATGTAATCCCATTTGTTTATATTTTCCTTTGTTTCATTTGCCCTAGGACTGTGGTCGGCAAACTGCAGCCCGTGAGCCACATGCGGCTCTTTGGCCCTTTGAGTGTGGCTCTTCCTAAGCCTTAGAGGAGTACCCTAATTAAGTTAATAACAATGTACCTACCTATATAGTTTAAGTTTAAAAAATTTGGCTCTCAAAAGAAATTTCAATCGTTGTACTGTTGATATTTGGTTCTGTTGACTAATGAGTTTGCCGACCACTGCCCTAGGAGATGTGCTGCAAACATATTTCTACAAGATATGTCTGAGATTTTGCTGACTATGGTGTCTTCTAGGATTTTTATGGTTTTATGACTTACATTTAAGTCTTTTATCCATTTTGAGTTAATTCTTATGTATGGTGTAAGTTGGTGGTCTCGGAATATATCCTAAAAATTCTGCAACACCAGTCAGAAGGAATATATGCACGCTTATGTTCATAGCAGCACAATTTACAATAGCTAAGATCTGGAAACAGCCCAAGTGCCCCTCAGCAGATGAGTGGACAAAAAATATGTGGTACACTTATATAATGAAATACTATGAAGCTGTAAAAAAGAAGTATCTCTTACTCTTTGAGGAAGCATGGAGGAAACTGGAGAGTATTATGCTAAGTGAAATAAACCAGTCAGAGAAAGACAAGTATCACATTATCTCACTCATATGTGGAATCTAATGAACAAAATAAACGGATGAACAAAATAGATCCAGAGACACTGGAGCATGTAACAGACTAATCAATTTTGGGGGGTGGGGGTGAGAAGAGATTAACCAAAGAATTTATATGCGTATATGCATAACCAATGGACAGACAATAGTGTGGTAAAAGCCTGGAGGGCGGGTGGAAGCAGGGTGTCAGGGGTCAATGGGGGAATAAAAGGAGATATCTGCAGTACTTTTGTTGTAATGTACCCCGTGAATTACACAAGGACACCTCAAGAAGTCGAATTAAGGAGTCACATTTATTTCAAATCCGGGACTACGAGGGGGGATTTTGCTCTCCAAATCTCGTAGTGATAAGATGGCTGCAACACCAGATTTATATAGGCAAAAATCACAAAGGTATTGATTATATCTTGGGGTTTGGAATGAGTAACCTGGTTTGCAATAAAGCGGTTTGTTACAGAAGCTAAATTGAGCCGATTAGTTACCTACAAAGATTAATTATAGTTTTAGGTCTTGGGACCACTGAGTTGACAGAAACACATTATCTGGAGCCATCGGGTCTTGGGACCACTGAGTCAACGGAAACACATTATCTGGAGCCACTGGGGCAATTTAGAGTATTTGTGCTGTCCTGGCCTCCAGGTACAGAGGAATGTGTTGTCTAAAACCAGTATGACCACAACCAATGGGGTATTCAAATTACAATCGATAGGGTAGTCAATCGAATGGGATGATTTATATAATTCAGAAAATCAAAATAACTTTTCTATTATTTTAGCAAGCAAATAATGACAGAAGCCAAGTCAGCAGGGTTAAAATATTAAACAGCAATTCCCACCAAGCATGGTTGCCACCATGCTTCATTTTCAACAATAAAGATAAGTTTTTTTTAAAATGCTGCACTTTATAAAACATCCCCAGAAGTGACAGGAACCTATCTTTCTATACATTCACCACCCTGTGCACACTATGGATCAAGGATTGGCAAAGTTTTGCTATAAAGGACCAGATAGCCAATATTTTCAGTTTTTTGGAATTTGCAGTCTCCGTTGCAATTACTCAGCTCTGCTGTTGGCATATGAACACAGCCATAGGCAATACTTGAGCAAATGAGTGGGACTCTCATCCAATAAAACTTTCTTCTGGACATGGAAAATTGAGTCCTATAATTTTCACATCATGAAATATTTTCTGATTTTTTTCAACATTTATAAACATAAAAAAATTCTAGCTTGAGTGCCACAGAAAAATAGGCTGGTCACTAAGCCTGATGCCCCTGAGTCAGTCATAGTGTAATCACAGAAATCACTTGTGTACGAGCGCGTGACTTGCACAGCATGTATACAAGGTAAAACTCCTGTATGTTCCCCTGGCCCACTTTGCAACATCATTCCCTTTTAAAAAGATATAGGAAGATGCCCTTTGGTTCAGTGGATAGAGCATCGGCCTGTGGACTAAAAGGTCCCAGGTTCCATTCTGGTTGGGGGTGGGGCACATGCCCGGGTTGTGGGCTCGATCCTCGGTGGGGGGTGTGCAGGAGGCAGCCAATCAGTGATTCTCTCTCATCATTGATGTTTCTATCTCTCTCTCTCTCCCTCTCCCTTCCTCTCTGAAATCAATAAAAATATGCACGTTAAAAAAAAGATATAGGAAGAGAAGAAACTTTTATTTCCTCAATGGAAAATGCCCTGCA